TGGGTGTACTATTCCTTTAAGGCTGAAATAGTGTTTTGCTTCTTAAAGATTACATTTAAAAGCAAAGTTCTTGTGTATGCAATTAACTTTGTTGTTGTGAGCAAAGAACACATATTGTAAAAAGAAAACACATATATATATGTATATTTTCAATTTAGTTTATTTAATATATTTATTATATATATATATATATATATATATTTTAAATAAGATAAATAAAAATCTGCTTAAAATGGTAATTATCATTATTTAGATCATTACGTTTGATCAAATCTTCCTTCTTCTTTTTCCCAGTTTGATGTCCGGCCTGGCCGCTCTCGATGCCAAGTGTTCCAGTCGGCTCGGCTTGATCACGGTCTCATATTATCTGTGGACCACGTTTGTGGCTGTGATCGTGGGGATCATGATGGTGTCCATTATCCACCCAGGCGGTGCTGCCCAGAAAGAGGACTCTGAGGACAGCAGCAAGCATATCATGAGTTCTGCTGACGCTCTGCTGGATCTAATCCGGTAAGATCCTGACAGTCTTGGCTTCATACCGACGTCAATGCTCGAATAAGAGCAGAGATGTGTGTTCCTTCCTGGTATGCAGGAAACCTCTGCAAAAGTTCGAGTGTGACTAAATCAGAAATAAGAGCTGGTTTTGTTCCGCTATCCTGACCCGGTGAAAAGCCCTCCTGTTGGTTGTGTGATTAATTCACATCAGGAGGGATAAAAAGCAGAGAACAAGCTGTGCTTGGCAGGGCAGCAGAAAATTAGGATTCTCAGACAAAAAAACATCTGCTAACAGCTGCATGTGAACCACTTTGGTGTGTTTTAAAGTACTACGTCTCACCCTTACGTCAGGCAGACAGGAAATGTAAGGACTGAGCACCATCATATGCACTGGTTTGTACGATCACTACTGCACAGATAAGCATTTACGGTGACAGGAAAGTGGTTTTCCTTTTAGAAAGTTGTCCGTTTGGTTTAAATTTCCTCCACTGTCCCGTCAGAATGCTCCTCTGGGCAGGGCGCACATTACCAAGCTGCCAACCATTCTGCCCTTAGAACCCTAGTGATAGAGGAGAGGGAACATCTGCTCCACATTTATTTTATTCCAAAGAAACCGGATCTCTTTACATTCTGACAGAATTCAGGAAGGCTGTTTAATTGCTGCACAGTGTTTAGCTCTGCTGCTTCTCAGCAGAAGGACCTTGGGTTTGGATAGGAGCCTGTGCTCTCCTTTAGTGGAGAGGCCTTTTCTTTCTCTGGATGTAGCGTTCTCTCCTGGTGCTCTGACCTCCTCCCATTGTCCAACAGAGTGACACTTATACCCCTCTCCATTAGTACCAACTGATTGATATTGAAATATTGCATATTTTTCAATACCTCCATTCACAAAACGTTTTATTTTTAAATTTCCATTTACCAAGCACTTTTCTTGCAACAACAATGGAGTAAAATCCCCTCTGTATAATGATGAGAGGCTTTTAGATACCAGCAAAGGCTTTAGCTAGCAGCTAGGTCGTGGCATAACACAAACCTGGCTGAATGGTCAGTTATTAATAGCACCTCCTCAGCTGTCTCCTCCTGCTTATTAATCCATTGTGGGAGAACAGAGCCCTCTCCTTTTCTGCTCCTGTTTTACCACATTTCTGCTCAGACTGGTCCTCTGGAGGAAGAGTGATTAAAAATATGTTAATTTTGTCCTACAATTACACATATCTTATCATTTCAGTTCCTTAGTTAACAAACTGTTTTAGAATCTGGATTCATATTCATATAACATATGGCTATATACTATATGTTGTATATAGTATATTGTATGTTTTATATTGTATATAGCTATAGATTCTGTATTCTATACACCATCAACACCAAGTCAAATTCCTTGTAAGTTCAAACCTGGTTGGCAATAAATCTGATTCTAAATCTGATTCATATTCTGAGCTGATCAGGCTGCTTCTCTATCTCACTAAATAACATAATGGTATCAGGTTATTTCAGAAGTGTTGTCTTGTCTTTTTTTTTTTTCCAATGAAATATAATTTAAATAACAATATTTATATATGTTTTCATGAGGTGAGAGGGACACCTTTGGGGCAAAGGAGCCAGAGCTCATGGTTGCTAAGAGGTGCTAAAAGGGGCCGATGCATGAATTCACAGCAAAATAAAAAATAAGACTAATACACAAACATAGACGAAGGAGAAATACTGCAATAACATTAAACAGTAAGCAGCAATATAGAAAGGCACAAAACCTCCTGCAAATACATAAATGATGCTGACAAACAAACCTCCATGTACCAGCTACTGACCACTAGAGGGAGACAAACAGTGGCCAGGACTGCTTCTGTTATGAGGCGCTAGTTTGCAGCTTTTCCTGAGTTGCATGTTTTTTCCCCTGTAAATGTTTTTTTGTATCTTGGCATCATTTATGTGTTTGCAGCAGGTTTACTCTTTGTACCGTTTACTTTTCTTGTGATGGTGTGTTTGTGTACTAATCTCATTTTTGGACGTTTTAACTTGCTTTGATTTAATGCATTTGCATGGTGTTTGCACTCCTTGAACACAGTAGGTGATCCAACCTCCTTAACTTGAATCCAGGCCTCTCTCTCTTTCTGAAGCTGTCTGTGCTGCAGCCCAGCAGCAGGGTTCTCTCGCCCACATGTGCAGCTGATACACTGACTTTTCTCCTCAGATAGCCTGAGCTCACTTCCTGTCTCATCTTTTTGCTCCTTCCTCATGTTCTCCAATATTGGGCATCCTGTGGCCTCATCCTCCGCATTTGTTCCTGAGTTGTACTGTTTTCTCCTCTTCCTGTTTGCTAGTTTAAACCACCTAATAAGGCTGTCTGTGGGTTCTTCCTGCTTCCTCTGCAGTTTTTCCTCCTCTACCAGCATAAAGTCCTCCTTCGCTGCCTCCATCAGTCTCCACAGTTTCTCATTCTTCCCTAAATGGGACTTTCGGGTTTCTTGATGGATCAAATGCAACCAGACAACCTGTGTCTCTGTGGTTACATACAGAAAAATAATAAAATAAAATAAACCCAATCTTAAGCCACACACAACTTGAAAGGAGTGAAAATATTGACTGAAATAAATTTATCTGAGGAGTGTGACGTCCTATTGATCCGGATGTCTGTCTTTTTATATGTCGATCGATGAGCCAACCAAACAGAGGCTCTGAAGCCTTAAGATTATTTTATATATGTTAAGGTTTACTCAACAAACTCTAAAGTGTGAAACTACTTGATGTTTAAGGTTCATCAGCTCATCATCTTTTCCCAACCCTTATAAAACCTTAACCTTTGTCTCCTCTTGGGTGAATGAGTCTTACAAGCCTGATGAGTGTTTCAGAGTGTAGCTGGACTACAGGTTCATCCCAATAATGTAAACATTAAAGGTCCAGTTCACTGATATTCTGTTATCTCTGCCACAGCTACATTATTCTCAACCCAAAACTCTTATTTGCAGCAAATTCTGATCATAAACCATGTTTTTATTGCCTGTTTTAAGCAATTGTGGCCTGAGTGATTTTTTTATAAAACCGTTGCTCTGATTTTTCCCCGAGGGATTGAAAATAGCAACAAACAAAAATATAATAATAAATCGTTTCCTTCCCCTAAAAGAGTTGGAGCAGTTTGGATTTGATCGTCTTACCAAAGGATTGTAGGAGCTTTACAGACCACTCTGCATCTCTGTTTGTTTCTGTTTCCACTGATACTTCAGCGATTTCTCCAACTGTAAATATTGTTTTTATTGTCTTGCATTTATTGTCTTGCATTAGTCTAAACTATCTTAAGGATGCCTGTCTGAGTCCCCCATCAGGGCTTTACCGTCCATCTGCAGTGTGCTATATTTTGTAATTCACTAATAAATGGTGTTTGAAAGTAAAAAAACTAATGTTTAATAAGGTAATGCTGAATTAAAGAAAAAAAGCACAAGGCAAATGCTCTACATGTAAATATTTTGATGCATATATGAAATCTAAACCAAAAACATCCCTTTATAGCTATTATTAAAGAAAGGTAACTTACAAAAAATGTATTATACATCGAATAGAAGAAAAGTAATCAATGCAAATAAATATGCATTGACATTGTTTGCTAATCTTCCTTCAAAGACACGATCATTAGTGATAACCTATTATCAATGTTGACTTCACTGAACTCTTTAAGAGAACAGCGCTTAGCCTGGAGATGCTAAGCTAATGTTACTAGCAGTAGCCTGTTTTAGGAGCGAGATTTATGGAAAAGTAGCCGATCACAGGTAGATTATTTGGTTGGTTCCACCTTCAGTCTTACAAAAGCCGACTTGAGTGCAAAGAAACAGACAAGAAGGAGAGAATTTACAGCCGCATGAAAAGCAAGAAAGTGCAGAAAAGGACATATTGGAGGCCTCATAGTGTTGGTTCTACACACATGAAACATTCAAAACAATTGTGGAGAGAAGTTTGCGTGTTTATTTTAAATGAAACATGTGCACATTTTTGGAAGATCTCTGGTAGGTTAAAATATGTATTTCTGGAATTATTTGATCTACTCTTTTTCATAACTGCATCTCTGAGGTAAGATATGGTCATTGATGGAGAAGTTCTGCTCTGATATATGCTGTTCGAAAACCTAGGACGCATCCTTAGAAGGCCAGATTTGAAGGGCGATTACGTCATCGGGATCACACCTGTTCACACCTACCAGGTCATTTGTTTTATCTCCCCTGGAACAAGCAGTTCTCTGCTAAGCCTGATGGTGGCAGCAGTGTGGAATTTTCCTACTTTGACATTTTGTGGCTGGTAAATTAGCTAATTACTGAATCCAAAAAGCAGCAATAAATCATTCACAACCATATAACTTATACAGAAAGTTTTCTTTTTTATGATTTTTTTTTTTAGGTTTTATTGGGGCTAGGAGGATTGGAGTTCTCTCTAAAGATAAAGAATATAGAATATAGGCACTAATGTATAAATATGTCCATAGCTTTATCAGCAAGGACTCTAATGAAAATCCACTCTCTCTTCAGTGATTTATTTGGAAAATATAGATGTTGTACGTTTCGATTTTCCTGTTGGTTTTTCTTTCATCAGTTTAGATTCAACGTGAGATGTTTTTGGAACTTATCAGTTTACAGCCACCCATCAGTGCACATTGGCCCCTGCCTGACTAGTCCTGAGCATTTTCTGGAACCGCCACTGCAGGCAAGTCCTACCATACCAAAGTCAACCATGTTTGGTGGGCTTTGCTTCTTACTCTGGGTTTGTTTAGTAAAAATTAAAAGAGAGAACCTATGTCCTAATAAACAGCCCCACACCATAATCCTCCGTCTGTTTTAACGTTTAGGCATAAAAACCGACCTACCAAAGTCAGACCCATTAACTGGATTGCTAGAAATTCATCGTTCCAAGGTTTCCACTGCTATGGTTCAATAGAGCTCAGCTTTACATCAGAACACTGTGTGTTGCATGTGGTAATAAAAGGATTGGACACAGCTGCTGAGACATGGAAACCTATTTCATTAAGACCTCTATGT